CCGCATGTATGTACCGTATAAGGCAGAAGACAAGCGCCAGATGAGCGCAATCGTACCACAGCTCCGATACCAAATTGCAAGGAAGATGAGCAATAACGAATTCCAGAATTCGAACAGCATCATACATGAGTGACCAAATAGCCATGACCTCGAACCATAAGCAGAATGGCATCACGAGTTATACCAAATAAGAACACAGCAATAGTTCATAATTGACAATGCTGAAATTGTCTCTCATCATCATCAACGAAGAACAAGAGTTGGGGGTCGTCGTCGTCCTTTGCATGCTCCTTTGTTTGGCCGCCATAGCCATCGTCTGTCTGACTGTGTACTTGATCGCCGCTTTGCGGTTCATGTTCAGACTTCGAGAGGGCGAGGAGGTGCAGCTGCTTGCAAAGAGAACTGCCCCAACTTCGTGAGGTATGGAAGGTCGCCGATTCACGTCCGAGCTTATGGGGGAGTATGACGACGCCATGGATTCTGATCGGTCAGGTGTAGAGGACATCGCTGGCACTCTGATGGACCGAGGTGGAGGTGTGCAACGTGGCTCGGCACGACAATGGCCGCGCACGCCGTTCAGCAACGAGGGATTCCAGCCCGGTGCACCACAATGGTAGTACACATCGGCTCCACCTTCGAGCCGGGGAGGGCAAGCGGGAGGTGGAGCGGGAGCGGGTGTTCGTGGTTCTTCCTCCTTGTATGCTCGCCAAGCGGTGCAGATGCATGACGAGTCCATCGGTGTTTACTCGCCCGTCGAACTTTCGTCTAGCACGTGGGGAGGGGCGGTAGGCAACGACGATTCATCTGCTGCATGGGCACCGGGGAGTTCGCTGGGTATGGCGCATTCCCCGTACGGATCAGTCATGTCATGCGGTGTTACAGGTCCACGACGCTCGTCGCCGGGTGGAAGAATGGAGAACGTCGTGATGGCCGATCACATGGAAAGGGAGTCGCACGTTCCCGCAAACGCTCATCCACAACCCCAAACCATGCGCGCTCAGGTGCAAGGTCCAATGCCTGCACGTTTGTCTGAAGGTGGATTCATGCATGGTTAGCCGTCGGGGTGGGGGGGTGGATTTTCAAGCTTTGGAACAGCTGGCGGTGGAGAAAGGACTGCATTTGCGGTTGAGTGGTGGCATGGCGAGACAACGGTGATGTAGGTCGGTGATGAGGCCGTTGCTTCTTCCACACCTTCTCGGTCAGGGCGGCCTGCAGGCAATGTCACAGGCAAAAGGACAACGGACGATGCTGTCGGCGAAGGTTCGGTCATGCGGGGCGATGTCGGTCGATCGGCGGAGGATACGACATCGGGGCAAAAGAAGCAGCGTGCGAGGAGGGCGCCGAGGGCGGAGGGGGGGAAGAAGAACAACCCGTGGACCTTGGAGGAGTGGATAGCGTTGGCGAGGAATTGCGCGGAAGACGATGCCCTCATGGCCGACGCCAATGGCGTGCATAAGCACAAGACGCGTGCCAAAAGATACGAATGGATCGCAGATCACTGAAGGAGGAGGGGTACAATAGGACAGCGGAGGACTGCAGGAAGAAGTGGACGAAACTCAAGGAGATCGTTAGCCAGATCGGGGACAAGTGCTACAGGTCTGGTGAGGCAGGCTACTTCAACATGACCACAGAGCAGCGAAGGGAGAAGGACGTCTGCACAACGTTCGAGGAGCCTCTTTGGGATGCGATTGAAGAAGTCGTACACGTGCGAAGCCACTCTCGCTTCAGAGGACCTGGGAGGTGGCGGAGGGAGCGGATCCGGGCGCAGCGGTGGCGGTAGTGATGGGGGTGAAGGTGGAGGGGGCAACTTGTCGGGGCAGGGCCAGGGCGGGACCGGACCGAGGCTTGCTGGTGGAGGGAGCCGATCGGGCGAGATCGGTGGAGAGATCGGAACCGGGGAAGGAGGTGTAGGAGGCGGTTCGACGAGGGGTGGGGGTGACGCATCCGATGGCGGTGGCACGGACGCTTCGGACACGAGTGGCAGGTCGCGCAGGACATCGTCGGGTAGGGTGCGTGGCGACGCACCCGCATCCTCATCTTCGGCGAAGACAACCATGGAGGACTCGGCGAAAACTCTTTGTGAAGGTCTCGACAAGGCTTCCAGAACACTGGCTCGTGCTACATGCGAGGCAGCGGCTATGATGTCCACGAAGATCTGCGACGTCGCAGTCCAGATCGGAGTTGTTGCGGGTGCCATGCACGAGGGGAACGCTGTTCTGCAAAGCCTCGTAGCAGTCATGGCCGCCAGATCGTCAAACTCCACAGGTGGGAGAGGAGAGAACGACTCGTCATAAAAGGGACTGGCCGATGTGGACAGGTGACAGACCCGTCATGAAAGGGACTGGCCGATGTGGACAGGTGTCCATTATTTGCGGCCCGCACATGTGTTTTATCACTTTTATTTTGCTTTTTTATTTATTTATTTTTTTTTTTTTTGCGAGTTCGTTTCGATTTTTTTTTTTTTTTTGGTTTTTAGTGTTTTTTTGTTCTTCGTGTAGTTGCGATCCGAACGGCCTTGCAATTCCTGTCGGCCATAGTAGTCCTTGTCTGATGACGACGATCCACTGGTCACTATAAATTGTCATTCTCCCTCTCCTGTGCCATCGTCAGAAACGGCTCAGTGATTCTGAAGTGTGCGTTGCCCGCGTTGGTGGATGCGCGGAAGAGAGGGAAGGCCACTTTGAGGTCGTGTGTTGTGTGGCATGTGGTGGGGGAAAGGCGCGACGGTCTGGATGGTGGGTGTCCAATTCAATGGTGCGGTGGGAGAGACACCGCTTCGCATAGATAGATAGATAGATAGATAGATAGATAGATAGATAGATAGATAGATAGATAGATAGATAGATAGATAGATAGATA